GGGCAGATTCCGACTGCGCTCTTAAAGAGCTGTCCGAATCCGCAATAAAATTTTCAAGGTACAATATTTTTCAGGGGGCTTCCAGGGGAGGGGACAGGGGGTTATTATTGACATATTCCGGCAACTATGGCTTCCTTGGGGAGGGGTCAAGTGAGCAAGTTCAGTTATTTACCCCCCCCCCTTGGCTGGAGCACTTCGTGGAGTATGTCATTTGATATTGATACCCCACGAGCTGAACCAGATATACATGATGAGAGGAGATCCTTGCCCGAAATTATAGCTCTTCCAGAGTATATTTCGACAGCAGAAACGTTATGGTTCCAGCTTTCAGCTCGTGGAGGCAGAGCGTTTTCTGTTTGTTGGTTTCTACAGAAGGTGAGTTGTCAGTCCGGAAGTATCTTGCCTGCTAGTCTGTCCAGATACATGTAGTGGAGCAAGGTCCAATCCAGATAGATAGAGAGAAGAATATAGCTTAGGTCCATTCTTGGGATTGCACCTCCGACGGCTCTGAAATCACGATTCCAAAATCGGAACCCATAACTTTTTCCACAGATGGCATGGACGTCGCAGAAGGATATAATCTCAGCAGAGTCTCATCAGAAGCGTAGTGTTCCCCTCGTGGCCGAGGGTGAAAGAGCATCAGATGTTGTCATTGGTAACTGGTCTATTGGACCACAAGATGATAAATTGGAGAAGGGGCGTACCGGACCCACAACTAAGAAAAAATGTATGGCTGTTCGCCGCTGTTCGCCGCTGCCGATCTGCACAGATCAGCGGCGGATATCCTCTGCCCGTTTTTCTTACGAAATGGGGTCCTGGCCGATCTTTGCCGCTGATCTGAGAAGATCGGCGGCCAAGATTGGCCACTTTCTGGACTTGAAAAATTCGGGCCTACGGGACCCGCTTCCGAAATTGCGGGGCAGGGCCCGCCCCCACGAGGCCCCGGGACCACATTGGCGCCGGCAAAAAAAAAATTCAGCCCCCAGCAAAAATGCGCTGGGGGCAACCGGGAGGCAACCGGCCCGGTCCACCGGCCGGTGGCCGGTCCATCCGGGAGGACCGCGGATGGAGTAGGGGTCCCCGGTCCGTCCGGGGACCAGCCCTGACGTACGGTCATTATAGCCGTATTTAGACCGAAAGATACCCCAAATTCAGCTATAATGACCGTACGTTGTATTCGGGGGAAAGACTGTAGGTCTAAACTCGGTCAGAGACAGCCTACAACCATGATATTCAGATGTCTCACATAATGGTTTTCCCCACCCCGAGGCAAGGAATCTAAGAGTTTTGGGCCTCTTGGGTCACGGCAAGTGACAAATATTGAAGTATATGCATTCTTGATCTCCATCTGGCATCTACATTCCTTGTTCTTTGAAATGTCTTCATCAAACACAAGGAGCATGAAAAACTGCCGGCGCTGGGAAACTCAAAAAGTGTTTGCTCTGCCGTAAGGGCCGCCACGTGTGGCCAACACAAATACCTCCATTGGGTGCTGTCCACGTGACTAGTGGTGGTGCCGATCTGTGGGGTGAAAATATTAGCAACATCTTGTGAGTGAAGAAGGGGATTTATCTTGTAAAGCTCTTTCATCGGTAGTGAGATTATGACAAAAACCGAAGAAGAAGCCCCGGCTAACTCCGTGCCAGCAGCCGCGGCCCGGGTACGACGGGGGGGGCAAGTGTATTCGGAATGACTAGGCGTAAAGGGCACCTAGGCGGTGAATTAGGCGCGAAGCGGTGAAAGTCGCCAGCTCAACTGGTGGAATGCCTTCAAAACCGGTTCACTGGCGCAGGGCCCGCGGCCAATCTATGGGAAAGGTACTGGCGGTTTAAG